GACCTGACCCCACAGTGTCCTGTCCTCACAGTGACCTGTCCTCACGGCGACCTGATCCCACGGTGTCCTGTCCTCACGGCGACCTGACCCCACAGTGACCTGTCCTCACAGTGTCCTGTCCTCACGGTGACCTGACCCCACAGTGTCCTGCCCTCACAGTGTCCTGACCCCACAGTGTCCTGACCTCACGGTGACCTGACCCCACAGTGACCTGACCCCACAGTGTCCTGACCCCACAGTGTCATGTCCTCACGGTGACCTGACCCCACACTGTCCTGTCCTCACAGTGTCCTGACCTGACCCCACAGTGTCCTGTCCTCACAGTGACCTGTCCCCACAGTGTCCTTTCCTCACGGTGACTTTTTTTATGGAGTCTGTCACAGGATATGCCATTTGCTGAGGCTTTCATGGTAATCAATGTCTCATAATGGCACAGTGTCGAGAGAGCTTTACTCTGTATCTAAGCCCGTGCTGATACCGTCCTGGGAATATTTGATGGGGACAGTGTAGAGTGAGCTTTACTCTGTATCTAACCCCAGGCTGTATGTCCAGGGAGTATTTGATCTGCCAATTTAAAAGAAGCTTTTGTTTTCCTTTAAATGTAAACTTTTGTGGATAGAATTAAGCTGTTTATAGAGTCATACAGCATGGAAACAGGCCCATTGGCTCAACTCATCCATGCTGACCAGATTTCCTAAGCTAGTCCCATTTGCCTGAATTTACCCATATTCATCTAAACCTTTCCTACTCATGTCTTTTAAATGTTATAATTGTACCAGCCTCTACCACATCCTCTGGCAGCTCTTTCCATATATGCACCACCCTCTGTGTGAAAAAGTTGCCCTCAGGTCCCTTATAAATCTTCCCCCTCTCACCTTAAACTTCTGTCCTCTAGTTTTGAACTCCCCTACCCTGGGTAAAAGATTTTGGCTATTCATTTTATCTATGCCCCTCATGATTTTATAAATCTCGATAAGGTCACCCCTCAGCCTCCTGCGCTTCAGGGAAAAAAAGTCCCCACCTCTCGTTATAACTCAAATCTTCCAGTCTTGGTAACATCCTTGTAAATCTTTTTTGCACTCTTTCCAGTTTAATAACAGCCTTGCTGTAACAGGACAACCCGAATTGTACATAGTTCTCCAAATGTGGCTTTACCAATGTCTTGTACAGCTGTAACACGATGTCCCAACTCCTGTGCTCAATGCTCTGACCAAGGAAGGAAAGCATGCCAAATGCCTTCTTCACAACCCTGTCTATGTGTGTCACCACTTTCAAGGAACTATGTATCTGTACCCCTCGGTCTCTCTGTTCAACAGTGCTCCCCAGGGCCCAAACATTACCTGTGTAAGTTGGACTCTGGTTCAACAAAATGCAACACTCATATTCATTTGCATTACAACCGATCTGCCACTCCTTGGCCCACTGGCCCAGTTGATCAAAGTCCCGCTGTACTCTGAGATAACCTTCTTCACTGCCCATTATACCACCAACTTTGGTGTCATCCAATACTAACAACGCCTCCTATCATCTCATCTAAATCATTTATGTAAATGATGAAAAACAGTGAACCCAACACTGATCATTGTGGCACACCGCTGGTCACAGGCCTCCAGTCTGAACGATAACCCTTTACCAGTACGTATTGTCAAGCTTTCCCTGAATTCCATGTGA